TATTTTCTTCTCCTTCTCATAAAATTTCGTTTAAATTCACGATAATGTAATAGATTTGGAAGAGAGCATTAATAGATCTAGGGCCCAGAGTGGAGGGAGGGGGAGGTCTGGGAGTTTAAAAAAATAGCTATCTTTTAGTACTTTCACATTAACCACAGAAAATCCTTAGAAAAGGCAAGGCAACTAAAGAATTAAGCACTACAAGAACATTGAATGTACGAATGCTTATAAATTAGTATGCACCCACCTGATCTCAAGGCAGACAGCACAGACGCGTCATCTCCATATGAACTACTGATATTGAGACATGTACGTAGCACCCCGAGTCTTCCTCGAAGCTGTAACAAGCCCAAGTACGACTTCAGGGGACCTTTATATGGACTTAGAGGTATGGGAAATAACTGATCTGTCAAAATGTGTAGTTGCTGACCAGTAAATTGCCAGTTTCAAGTATGTAAACGCACATTGACGTCATAAGTTTCACCCTTCTATGCATATTGAGATAGAGCTCTCGAAATAGTATCTAGTAAGGTTCCCGGATTGAAGCGGTGGCGAATATTGTCAACAAATTGGAATTATGGTTTGACCACACCAAAACGTCCCCAAATTATTTAAAATAAACGACTTGGCTAATATATCAGCTCTCTAGCATAAAATCCAGAATCGCCTGCACTTGGAAACTGTGGATTGGAAGCACCCGGAATTACATTATTTTCAACCGGCAGTCTTTAGTAAGTTGAATCTAAAAAAAGCAGTCATGCTCAATGGAAAAGTTTAATTTAAGTTTTTCAATATCATTGTAAACCTTTAGAAACACCCTAATAGCCTATCCAACTACTGCCTGAGAAGCACTTTGTTACGACCAAATACAAAATACTTTGGTTGTGGTGGGCTTGCTGCTATGAGTGTCAGAGCCACTCTCATAGGGTTAAAGTCCTCTGCACATTGTACTACACTACTTTGATGCTATTCTATCCTTTAAAGAAATCACAAACCACGTCCGCGGCATGAAAAATGCAGAACTTCAGACACACGAATTTTGTGTCAAAATATGGATAAATGACCTCACTTGTTTTAAATGATAAAGCCCACCCCGGACCACCCAAAATTTAGTACTTCAGCTTTTGTCAGTTCAAAAATCGGTGCGGGCTAAAGTTCGTTAAGATAAATGCCTCCTTCTGAAACCGTTCATCAGCCTTGTAGGGTTTTTTAACTATTGGTAGGTAGTGAATTCCATGCTATTCACCTAATTGGAAAACCAAAGGAACTTCTGTTGAGAATAGTACGCATTAAGTAAATATAGTTTATTTTCTGCAGATCTAGGGTAAACCAATGCATTGAGTTGGCCTCTGCTAACAGAAATCAAGCTTTATCCGCATCCACAAAACACCGAACAGAATTGAAATGCAAATCCGAAGGTCTTTTTGTCCAATGCAAACCGTGAACTTCGTGCTGATGCAAATATTCCACATAGCTGACTTTTTGGCCAACGCAGTCGTGTCGTGCATAGCCCAATATGAAAGTCGGCGATTTAGCCATGAGATTAAAGGTTCATGGTGCTTCAATTTGAACATCAGTAGTCAGCCATTCAGCACTTGCGCCTGCGCCTCCACCCGATTTTCCTCTCATCCTTTTCCCATCCCCCAGTTTAGGTGAAATGGGAGATAAAACAGCTACCAAAATGAAACAAGAGCAGCTAACACCAGGGCCTACAAACTACCGAATTGCGTCTATTCTGATAGAAAAGCATCATTCGTTATGGCCATGAGAGTAATCCGATAATCACTTCGGCTTCCCCAAACCGTGAAATTACGTTGTTCTGCATAGTTTATCGGCCGTCTAAACTACAAATTATCATGGCTTGACTCCCTGGATAAAGGTTTTGAATAGATAAAACAAATGTATCAATCCGCAAAAACAAAGCGGCTACGGAGAAATGAAGACAATTCGTCAATGGCCGACTTTGTACACTTTGGCCGCCGGTGACAGTAAATACCAACGCCTACTGCTGTGCACTTTTGTAGGGCACCGAGTGAAAAATGACTTTTTATATTATAATCTTCCCCTTGCCTTGAATACTTGAGGAAAGTAGAATTCTATAAAGAAGTCCCAAAAAGTGCATCATAAGGGCAAAAGGACTGACAAAACTGATGAATTCCCTTGATTAAATTAATGTTTGAAACACCAAAACTCATGTAACAGTTTTAATGACTTAGTAACGACACCACAAGAGGTCAGCCCTGTAATTTCTATGAAACCGAAACTCCCAAAGAGAAACAGTGGTAACCATGACTGGAGCCCTAACCACAGAGACAATTGCTCTTCGGAGTTGGTGATATGATTTTGAAGGGAGTGTTCATTCACCTATTATTTTTCTAACGTTTCTTGATATTCAAAAATATTACTCTTTTTAAATGGGTACGACTCCGCATTAAAGTCTTACTGTTTTGATGTATAACGAAAACAGGAAGAGGCGCCATTGTGAGCACATAAAATCGAGGAGGGGCAACAGTTCCGGAGCCAGATGAAATCACAGCTCTACAACGATAAGCTCAACAAACATTTTTTCGCAGATGCACCAAGTTCAGATCTAAGTAATACTTTCCCCTGTACATGTTTGACATGGCCACCCGCATTTATTGTTTAGTACACCAGGACTCATCCACAAGGCGCCTCTAGACGTCCAAGTCAATTTGAAAGTGGCACTTTCCTTACAAGTCTTGAGATGCTAACACCCGAAATGACATTGACCACCCTTGCACCAAAAGCACCTAAGTCGCGGACAAAAGCGTCAGTAGGTTTTGTCGGTACACATTGGAACTCGGTTCCTCGGTACGCAATAACAAAGACTCCAATAAATATTTATTATGGCTGAAAAAATGATGGGAGCGAGAACAGAAGGCTACTTTAAATTTAAAAGTGGGTTACTTAATAAGATACACTAGAGAAAAGCGCTGATATGAACCTAGATTGATTTAAAAATTACAGATTTTTGGGTAAAAATGACATGACAACAGCCGAAAAGTAAACCGTTTGAAGCGTCTGCAGGTAGAGACAGAAGACCCCACATTAACCGAGCCCCCTAACAACAAAGAGAGTCATGACAGTGACTGCAGTCCTGTTGCATGCGTAGGCATCCTGCTCACTTAGGCCTCAAAGTAGCCACGCTGGCCAATTCAGCTGATATGCCTCTGCCTCCATCACTGTCACTCTCATTTCTAGCCGTAATATTACATTGTTTAGTGAAATCACGTCCTAAAACAAGCAACGTATCCTCAAATAAACCAAAACCATGTACTCTATCTTCAGAAATACCCGCAATTTTGCGAATGGCTGCAAGAGCAGCACAATCTCCCACAAAACTTTTACGCTAAAACTATGACTTAGTAGGGTAAATTACCTTGAGTACGGACACCTCAGACGCAAAATTGGGGGAATTTTAGAAGACAAAACGACATCTGTCCTAAACATCAAAACCAGAACCTCAAAGCCACAATAAAGCAGTGTTTTAGCTGTTAGGACAAAGCCTGAAAACGAAAGCTTCACAAACATGAGCAGATTGTCTCTGACACGATCCTATGACGAAGCCCTCGCACTTCTGCGTGGTATAATTTGAAGTACCGACAGATTCTGCGAGGTCGGCTCCACCACTGAAAACAGCATTTGTAATGTAGCTGACTAGCTTAAATACAAAGACTCAGTATATTTTAATTTTACAGGAATTTATCCGCACTTTCGCTTGCGAGGAACTCTTGTCTAAAAATAACCTCAGTTATCTTTTCACGGTATGGCACTTCACTGCTAATTCATCATTACCTTCAATCACCATCGGTAAATACCACAGTACTATTTTCTAGGACACCCTTTTAATGTGCACACTTATTCTCGTTCTCTCTCTTCCTTCCCCCTAGGTAGGGCGCGTACATACATTCGAAATATTTCTCTGGGGGCCTTTATGCACCTCTAAAATGGATGAATATCTACACCCTTCACGTACAGCACGCGTCTTATTTTATTGAGCCATTCCTCTGTTGCATGATTTCTGCGACAGATGAAACTCACCCTCCTGGCAATCATTAAGTTTACAGCCCCATTCGCCACTTGGTTTCACCTTGCCGTGAACGCAAGCGAAAACGGCATCCAACGAATGTGTACTGGAGGGGTACCACTAGTGTACCGAAATAACCGAATAACCAGCAGGCCATACTGAACTCCATTTTCGCCCCAACCAATTTATTAGTCTAAACTGGAAGTGGAATTAAAGTGCTTTGGAAACATAATTTGGTTCATACTTCGGGAATAAACACTAAAATGAGGCATTTATTAGGATTTTTAGTGACCCATACCAAACTTTTGCGATCTCTCCCGATCTCCAGATGGTTCTGGAATCTAGCTTTATGAATGTTCGGGGTATTACTGTATGACGAGTGAAGATAAGTGACGCCATCCCGTTTTGTACACATATTGAGTATAAGTTCCTGCCACTCGAGTACCTTCTGCAGTCGTCACAAGCCACACCAGTACGAAGGGCTGACCAAAGGCGAACGTAAATACAATCTGCCGAAACTCAAGAGCCCATGTAATTAAGCGCACACTGACAATAATGTTCAAATCACTACCGAGTCCCTTTCTTTTAAATGCTATCCTCCTGCTTAGTCGACTGCATCGATTAAAGCGCATCCCGTACCTCAAAAACCATCCATGAGGGTTTAAGTAAAGGCATTCAATGCCGAGATAAACGATGTACTCCGACTGCTCTACCGTATTTAAAGTTTAGCCACCTGTGAAGTGTATTGGATGAGGGGAATTCACTAGCTTTTTGCCGCTTCGGGCTGGATGATACTCCAGTTAGTGCACTTTTATACCCCAAAGCAGACACACTTTGCAAAAGACCAGATTCAGACTGATTTCAGGAAGCTCATGCTCTGTATATATACTAGTTTGCTACTTTACCAACATTTCGTTGCTACTTAGGGGTCTATTTGGCCTCCATTCTGATAATATATAGGTGGTGTAGCCTAATCGCGTTATTAACACCCCTATACGAGTACTACAAACAATCCCATAACTGGGTTTTCAACCCTTTTAAGCATGCCAATAGCTTCTTGTAGAGCATAAAAATGGAATAATACCAAGAACTAACATCATTTTGAGTCTTCTATTGGAGCCTTCGCGAATCCAGCCATCAAAATCAGACGTATTCCGTAGCATTAAGGTTTGGTATTTAGCCACGAAAATCACCCAGCGTTCTGGTTCCAATGGTTGCGGATTCTCTTCAAATCCACCTGTTTAGAAGTTTAATACAGTGTAACCAAACGGCAAATAGTGGAGCGAAATTCGTTTTGCTTTAATATACTAACCGTCTCAAATAACGAATGAATTTTCGCAGCTATATCATGCGTTTTATGCGTTGCAAAAATTATCTCACTTGACTTTTAATAAAGCTGTAGTGGCAACTCTACCTGATCCTCATGTCATCCCTTTCTAAAATATTCAAACGCTAAAAAAACCTACTATGGCTTTGTGCAGTATCTAATCAAAGTAAACGAAATAGAACACAGCTCAAACTCCGTTCCCACTATTTCACTTGGAAAAGGAGGGAGAAAATTCATTTTCGGAGAAAAGGAACAACCGCCCCACTCAGCCAGACGGCGTGTAGGATACAAAACATAACAGCCCAACAGTCTGACGAAATGAGGTCTACGACAACCGAATGGGCAATCGCAGGGATGAAAAAATGGATGTTGCACTAATTTGAACATGACAAACCCGCTCACTTCTTCACAATAAAAACAAGCGTGCAGGAGGCGCAGCGATCGTAACTAGGGAGGGAGACGAAGAGCACCGTCCAGTCGTATGGTCGTACCGTTGAGCATGCTATTTTCTATGATACAGCGAACAAGATGGGCGAACTCCTCGGGTCGGCCAGGACGATTGGGGAAGGGGACGATTTTTACAAGGTGGTGGAGGGCAGCTTTGGGGGTCTTAGCGATCGCCGTTCCGGTATCGAAGATGCCTGAAGGGAGATTTACAAGTGGATCAATCGACCGCCGGCGTCCAATCGCAGTGTAGCTCCATTTAGCATCTTTTCTCTCAAGCAAGCAATAACGGCGTCTGCGAACTCGCACGGATGACCCTGTCGGCCAATCGCCAACTGCACGTCGTTTATGTAGTTCAATACCTCTGGCTGAACTTGGCGATCACCAAATAACAATTTGCTTTCAATGAGACCTAAATCAAAAGTACAGGCGCAACTGATTTACTACTTAATACTCCAACTCATTGCTAAGAAGAACCACCATTCGGGAACCAAAAGCGATTAGAATTCTGCTATTCCAACCATGCACCCAGATTTCCAGCCTCTAAATACACAACAAAACCACAGTTTGGCATAAATTGGAATTTACTCAAAGAACACAAGTTCAACAAAATGAGGGACTCTTGCAAATTCTACGCATTACACTTATAGGTTACATTTTTAGCAAACTTTTAAAAGATCAGAATTCCTACCTGGGGCGATGGTGACACAACGAATCCCATGCCGGGACAGATCTCTTGCAACGGGGAGTGTCATGCCTACGATGGCAGCCTTGCTGGCTGCATAGGCAACCTGTCCCACCTGACCCTCAAAAGCAGATACACTAGCCGTATTAATAATGACACCCCGTTCTCCATCCTCGTCGGGCTCGTTTTGAGCCATTGAGAGGGCAGTCAGACGAATTACATTGAATGTCCCTACAGTATTAACCTACACTTTTATACTCGCAAGTACTGGCGTCCAAACTCACCTTCAACACACGCTCGAATTCTTTTAAGTCGTGGAGCCTGCTTGAGGAATTTGAGATGGTCTTTCGAGAAATCCCGACACCCGCACAGTTCACCACACAATTTATGTACGAAAACTTGGCCTTGGCTAGGTCAATTGCAGCTTTTACAGATTCTTCAGACGTAATCTTAGGTAACTGTGAAATTTCAAACATGTAAGTACATCTGTTCCAGAAAATACTACGTCGCCTCCGAGTGTGTCAATTTCACTTGTTCGATTAATATCACACACTAGAACTTTGCAACCCTCCTGGAGTAGTTTTTTGGCGGTAGCAAGACCAAGGCCAGATGCACCACCTGTTATTAAGGCTGAGATATTCTAGAAAGTGACTAAGCAAAACTAACTAACTTTGAGAGACAGCAAGGCTCCAGAGAACCGCATGCTCCTCTGCTCTGGCTGTTTACACGATTGGTCCCTTTAAATGCCATAATATAACCTTGTATCCATCATTGTCGTTGTCCATTAATTTGTTTCTTCTTCCATGATATAAATTCATGCAGCTTATCCCACTGATCGCCTGTTTATACAAAAGGTTTTCACGTGCGATCTGATGAATGGTTCAAAATCGTAATTAACTTTAGAGGCCTCCATTACGTATACATTTGGGATTTTCCAGATAATATCTGCCCTAACATTAGCTCAGGCAAGAAAATTTAAATCCCATGACTGAAAAAAATGCAAAAAAAGTAAAATCCAAAGCGCAGGGCCCTTTACTGGCTTTATTGTATAAGTGAGGTGACTTAAGTTCTCTTTGAAGGCGTAATGAGACATACCAGCGTAGGTAAAGCCTTACCCTTAATGCATAGAAGGGCTGTAGACATAGCCAAGGGGCAATATCTTCGTGAATATAAAACCCACGGGGACAATTTCACCACTTAGCAAAACCAAGCGCCAAATCACTAGACAAGCACATGAGCCTAGTGATGTTTATAGCGTAATGTATCGAATTCCCTTTCTGTCTCCTCATCTTTGGCCTTCAAACGCTTTAAATAAACGAGTCGACTCCATAGGGGCATGTTTATCAGTTAGGATTAACGAAAATTAGTACACATTTACGGACGTTTGGGTACTGAACTCTTCTACGCCTCGGGAAATTCTAACGACTCCTCTATCAAGAAGCTAGAGTTGATTGTCTGCTAATCACCTAAAAGGAACATTTTAATATAAGCACTACACAGCCTTCCCGTTTTTTTGGCACTATTCCCAGTGGTCCCTTATGGATTGTCTTTGATATTATCATCTGGTAGTTTTCTTTCATTATTGCCTAAATTTCACCTTTGTATTCAGCTGGTGGTGTACCTTTGTAGGGTCGTATCTTGTTTTGATGGTCGGTTAGTGGCTGTGGGTCACAGACTAGATATTTTGTAGATGAGAAGTTTCACCACTCCGACTGGATCTTTGCTCCAAATATGATGAAACTTGCGGTTTATTCCAGGTGGAGGAATTGGCCTGCACTAAATCTATTTCTCGGTAGTTTTTAGTCTGGCTGTGGTTGTCGTAATATTTATTCTGTCTGTGATGTGTTAAAAGTATTTCTCATACCGTCTTTCAGAAGCAGTACGTACTTCGGGACATTGTTGGTTGCTATTTTTGTGTTTGGTAGGAAGATATGGGAGACGACTCTCATTTTACGACCTGCGAGCATCTTTAACAGTGAGATGCCGGCTGGTGTATGGACTACAGCCCTGTACGCGAGGAGAGCACGTCCTAGGCTTAAATTCCAGTCTTGCAGTTATGCACCCATGGTGAAAGCCTTCAGCGGCCCAATCAGAGCACGATTTGTTCTTTCCACCTGTCCATTGTCTTCCGTTGGCCCGGTGTTGTGCATGCCTTTTAAATCCAAAAGGCATTGCGCAGTTCACTTCAGCATTAGGGTCTTGATCGCTCGGAACAGATTCTGGCACTTCATGCTGACAAATCTACCGATTAAAGAAAATTGAAGCAACCGTTTCAGCGTCTTGTGTCCTCATAGGTTCCGCCTCAGCTACCGTCGCGAAATAGTCTCCCATAGCCAGAATATATGGGTTCCCTCTCTTGGTGGGTGGTCAAGGAACCATAATGCGTATACCTACTCTTTCCTCTAAGAACACTGTGGGCACAGGCTGAGGTGATGCAATCGCTGTAGGATGAGGCCTTTTAAAGCTGCTGCAAGTGCTACAGGTTCGGCAAAAATCTAGGACGTCTGGGGTAAGCGAAGCCCACCAGTATCGCTTGCTCAAGGCATCTAGCATCTTCTTTTCACTCACGTCAACTAGTTGCTCGTGTATTTTTTGAAGAAGTGTTTGCACCAATGAGCCAGGAACCACTAGGCACTTAGGAGATTCGATGTCTTCTTGGTACCACAAAACATCCTCTAGAGAGAGTTTCGACCAATCTTGCCATATCCGACTGGCTGCCTTGCTCGATGAGGTCAGCTCTTCCACTGTGGGTTTAAGAGTGTGTCCGGAGGTCCGCCAGCGCTACCAGCAGTTTGGGGCGTTCCTCGTTTATCACCTCCTTCCTGGCCTTCAAAACCTTCGAACGAGCTGGTTGATTCCATAAGGGCATGTTCATTGGTCAGGGTTAGCGGGAGTCAATACAAGTTTGCAGGAATACGGATACTGAGCTCTTCCCGCCTCGGAAAATTCTGATGACGCATCTGTCACGGAGTTAGAGTCAATTGCCAGCTTCTCACCCAGGGGGTACATTTAAACGACGTAATTACTGCATCATCATTATCGTTATAATGCAAAACTGGCCTTATAAAAATTTGGTATTAAATTGTTATTCATGAATATAATTTTGCTTTGCTAATGGTAACGGACAATCGTTTACCTCGCCCTAAAGAAAGGCGATGCAAAGCAAACACTTGATAGATCATTAATTGTGCCCTATTATGGATTGTGAAATTACAACATGGGTCTTTTTTGTTTATTTCAACCAAATTAATACTTAAAGCGAGAGACTTTGGCGTATAAATCATGTGTGATTAC